ATCACAAGTCCGCATCTTGTACAGCAATTAACCACTAAGAAGAATATATGCAGTGTATTATTTGTTGAAACTGTACTTCTGATTTGATTTGAAACTGTCTCATTGCTGTTTATGAATAAAATTTTGGAAAAAAAAAAAAATCGACCCTATCGGGAAAAGCTGCTTTTGATTCCCTTGACCCCATGAGCGCAGCGTGGACATTAGTCTGTGTATGTTAAGTGTCTTCCAGGGTGGTGATCAGTTCTTAGAGGCCATGGGCCGAGGAGACAGGAACTGATTTCTGTTTTAAAACTCACTACGTCTGCTTCTACATCAGCTTTGTGGGGCTCGGGATCTAGCTCAGTGGTAACTACAGTATCATATGCCTAGTTTGTTACAGTCCTGGATTTGATTTGTAGCACCAAAATAACCGCAACAACAAAACTTGCCTCAGAATAAGTAAGCAGGAGTTAGCAGGCATCTCTGTTAGTGAATATATCCCTCAGCTGTAAGGAAAATTAACACCAATTATGTTTTGATAAACACCATTATTTGTCTAGTGTAAACATTTAAAAGAAACAGAAAATAGGATTCATGGAAGGGAGGTGGAAGCCAGGTGCAGGCGTTGCTCTGAGGGTGGCGCTCGCTAGGGAGGCACGGGGCCAGGGAATGGCGGGCCACAAGGGAGAGCCGCACAGCTGCCCACTCTCACCACCTTTCCCTCTCCACAGCCTGTGAGTCGGTGGTGGAACTCCTGTTCGATAGTGTCATCCATCTGGGCTGCAAGCCATACCTGGACAGCCAGCGAGCTGCTTGCTGGTGTCGCTACGAGGAGAAGACCGATCTCTAAGGACTGACAGCTGGTGACTGGAGAGGATGGAAGATTTAACTTTTGCCAAAGAACTGATGTTGGCACAGCATGAAGCGGCCTGGGTTTGGTGAAAGGGTCATTTTAAGACCTAACAAGACTATATTTGATGTTAAAACCTGTAAATAAAAACTCAAGGAAAACAGCTGGGTATGGTGGTGCACCCCTGGAATCCCAGCACCAGGAGGCTGAAGCAGGAGGAACATGCAGAGCGCAAGACCAGCCGAGGCTGCATAGCAAAGCCCTGTCTAAAAAAAAAAATGGTTGGGAAGGTGGAGCGTGTGCCTGCCTTCTCAGGACAGGACGTTGCTGCTTCGGTGGCCAAATGTCTTGATCATTGTCAGAACCAGGAATGTGTTAGGAAAGACATTTTGTACAGAAGAATGTATAACTGTCAGAAGAGCATATATATATTTTTAAAAATATCAAATATTTACTATAAATTCTAGGCAACATCTTTGGAAATAAGGGGAGATCTTCACTTACAAGTACTATTTACTATAAAATCTCCAATAAACATCTATAGCTGGAAGGAATGGGTTTCATTTTTTTCTGTGTTAATCCTCCATGGTGCGTTGTTTCTCGATAGCCCTCTAAGTGCATGAATGAGTCATGCTAGTTACAGGGACAGCGTGTCTATGTCTGTTTCTTGTGATATCAGAACCATCGGCTGTGGCCTCTCTCAGGACACAGGCCCAGGACACCTAAGTGTCCAGCAGCATGCCTGGGTGGGGATGGGGACAGGATTCAGGGGCATAATCATGCCCGTTGTGTGGCCCACTCAGGTGTGACCAGAGCTGCGGCCTGTGCCTGACCTGAGGAGGAGATGGCAGAAAGTGCTCGTGCACATCAGAGTTCCATGAGTGGCCGCTCTTGCCCATTTATCCTGAGCATTTGCTTCTCATAGTGAGTTCTAGGATGAACGTTTTACTAGGTGGGGCCTTCCTAGAAATTATTCTTGGTAGTGTCCTGTGTTTTCCTTGTAGAGACAAGATGGATGAAGTACACAGGACTGTCTTTTGTGGGTCCCTTATTACATGGAAAACTAGTAACTCATGTTCAGGGCAGATTCCAGAAAGCCATGGCTGCCTCTCCATGCGCTTTTCCTCCCCTTGGAATGGTGCAGCTGTGCCCTGTACACTTGAGCTGGGCGCTGTGTCCGTGGCCCTCAGCCGGGTCATGGGCAGCCTGTGGCCAGCAACTCAGCCAAACTGCCTGTGAGGAGGCGGGAAGAGGAGCGCCCCGGGGGCCCTGCCTGTCCTTTGAGCCGTGGCAGGTGGGGCTGGCAGGGCAACCACTGGCTCTAGAGAAAAGGGCTGAGTTCCTTCGTCCCAGCCTAGGGTGGTGACAGCTGTCCTGCTGGGAGCCACAGCTTCTGTTTGCGTACTTGTGCCTGAGTGATCAGCCTGGGCCCTGCTTTAAGTGATTTGAACCCCTTTCCTTTCTCTTTTTTGTAGTCCTAGGAGGGGATTGAACCCAGGGCCTCTGCACAGAGCTACATCCCTGCCAGTAGTCTTATTTTTTTTTTATTTTTTTTATTTTTTATTTATTAGAGAGAGAGAGAGAGAGAGAGAGAGAGAGAGAGAGAGAGAGAGAGGTGTGTGTGTGTGGCCAGCTCAGCCCACCAGGGGGCGGGGCTGGCTGGCATGTGGTGCTGGGGGATTGAACCGCGGTCCCTGTGCTTTGCTAAACTTGTTCTAAGTAGGTGCTTTAGACCACTGAGCCATCTCTCCAGCCCAACCAGTAGTCTATTATTTGAGACAGGGTTTCACGAAGTCGCTGAGTTGCCCTAGTTGGACTTAAACGTGATCCTCCCACCTCAGCTTCCCACAGTTGTTTTCCCAGCCTTTGCCACAGGCCCAGTTTAGAGCCTTTAATAGATACTTCTGGTCTAAGTTCTATGAAAGGTATAGTTTTGCAAACCAATGCCAATTTTTAATCTACCAGTATTTAATATTGAAGTCCTTGAGTAGATAACTAAAGGAACAATGAATTAGGGACTTTTCCTAGCTGCACTAGCTTTCTTAAAGGGATACATTGCAGGCGTGGCGGCATATGCCCATCGTCTTAGCTCTCAGGAGGCTGAGGCAGGAGGGTTGTGGGTATGAAGCCAGCCTGAGACACATGGGCATTCCAGGCCAGCCCTAGGATGCACACTCTTTGTCTCAGGAGAGACAAGCCACAAATATGCATAAAATATGTAATTCATGGTTATGAATTGAAGAAAAATAATAGAAACAGTTTTTGTATGTTGCAATTAAGTTTTGGAATCATTAAGGTACAGCAGTAACACAGTTCCTGTAACCCCTCATTCAGTTCCTGTGGTGACATTTCAGAGAGCCGCCAAGTGGTCATGGAAAGCTAAGAAGCCAATAATCACCACCCCTGCACGTAACTGTACTCCACGATCACACTCATTTTCCCTTCATGTCACTTTTCCATAAAGTCTAGGAAACCATGTGGCACTGGTGCTGGTACCTAATGAGCCTGTGAGCTTCCCTGGCTCCCCAGCCGTGCCTTGTTCCCATAGCCATGACGTCTTCCTGGTGTCCTGGTCAGAGGTGTTACAGTCCATGTCTGGGGCTGGCTCAGGGACACCCTGGGGTCGTGGGTATTAGAAGGCTGCAGCTGAGTGGGCCCTGCACGCTCCGGCTATTGGCTTGCAGGGTACTGACATCGCCTGCCACATGGGGGTGGAGTGGGTTTCTCTACCACGAGTGACTTCCCCCTGTAATTCTATTCCTTGTCCACTCGATGGAGGTGGCGGGGACAAGACTGTCCCCACCTGCTGGAACACAGCACGGCTTAGACCATGGTAGGCAATTCTTCAAGAAAGATTTGTCTCCTCTGCCTCAACCAATTGATGTCACTATGGACATTTGAATTTATTTACTGCTTTGTCACTCAAATTGTTCTGCCTTGTCTCCTGACTTCTGTTAGCAGGCTGCTGTGTCCCGCTGACAACACATACTTGTGGCTTTTGGGGGGTGGGGTGGGGGGTGCTAGAGATTGAGCCCAGAGCCATCGCACTGCGCTACATCTCCAGCCCTTTTAAAAATCTTAGCATGAGGTAGGTTGTTGCTGAGTTGCCCAGCCTGGGCTCAGCTTGTGATCTTCCTTCCTCAGCCTCCTGCATGGCTGGGGTCACAGGTTTCATGCTGCCATGCCCTGACGTCTAACAGCTCAGCACCCTCTCCCTTTCTGGTGCCACAAGATCCTCCCAGCACACTTGCATATTCCCTCCTGTCCCCTAGAACAAGCCTTTCACTGAGGGGCGCTAGGCTTTGTTGGTAGAGAATGATGCTTAGAAACCTACCCTTTTTTTTGTTACTGGAGATCAAACTCAGGACCTTGTGCTTGCCACCACTAATGCTCTTGAGCAATCTCTCTGGCCCAAGAATGGTGCTTAGAAACCAGACCAGGGACCTATTTTATTTGCCTTTGTCGCCAGCCTCACTGCTAGCCTCCCGGGAATGGAGCTGGGCAGGTGTGCACACATTACCCCTGCATACGTGCACACGTATGCATGTGTGTGTACAGTACATTAAAAGTATGTGCAAGGAGCCGGGGAGATGGCTCAGTGGAATAAGTGCTTCCTTGGCAAGGCCTGAGTTCAATCCCTGGTTCCACCAAAAATAATAATAATAATAATAAATAAATAAATAAATAAATAAATAAAAGTATGTGCATATTTACCCTGTATACGTGCATATCTGTGCATGGGCAATGGTGAGCTAAATGTGTGTGCGTTTTCTTTTACAAATTCATTTCTCCAGGGCTTCAGCAGATCTCACAATGATTTCATACTTTATGATTCTCACAGTTTTTTTGTTTTTTTGTTTTTTTTAAATTTTATTTATTTATTTATTTATTTGAG